ATCTGTTTTCTGGCTTTTCCTCGTTTACCTAAGCTTTAAGTTGTTATAATTTATGGCGTCTATAATTGCAGCAATTTGTGCGATGCGCCAGGTAGTCACCACCTCCATATCCTGCCCCACTTAGACGTGCTCGTATTTGAGATGAGACTTATATACAACATGCTACACATGACCCCATGAACCAATCCTGGGTGCACTGAAAAAAAATTATTCTATCTCTTTTTCATTCCGATATTTGTTTTTATAAAAATAAAACATATATCAGCTTAATAAAATATACATAAATATTTTTTTATAGCACTTAATATTATCCATTAAGTTTTAAGACTGAAAGCTGTCATACTTTAAAGGAACCCTTAATAAATATTATTTTTAAGACCAAAATATTAAATTACTTAAAGAAAACATGTGTTCCCGTAATGAAGAAAATTATATATTTTTTTCTTCGTATATTTTTGCTGTGTGAAAATTGCTTTTCTTGCCTCCAATTTTGTCGTCTCCGTTGCAGGCAAAATGTCAGCATCGTTCAGGACCTGATGCCCTATCGTTCCCTCTCCTTCTTTGGCCCTGCATCCGTCTCTTTCTGCCGCTTTCTGCGGTCCGGGGCTGCTGCTTGATTGCACTTTTAATTAACTTTTTTGCGAGCTTCACAGCTTCGGGATGCTGGCTCCTGTTTCAGCTGCTGCCAATTGTCGGCACTTTGTGCTTTATGCTTTCGCCTCGTCATTAACAAAGGCAAACAAGTCGCGCATGGGGCCATAAATAATGGCAATGTCACCCACACCGCCCACTCCGAAAATTATTTGTAGACAGTTTAAGCCATATCCCGAGCTACCAGCACCGTAATTCCGCCCGCCGGCCAATATGTTAATTCAATTCGCCGCATTGTAATCAGCGGCAGCCAAATTGTGAGCCCCGCAAATGTTTACGGATTCCCCCACCGGATTTCCAGAAATGTTTCCCGGCAGGTGAGTATTGGCAGTGCAGGCACGCGTAATGTTATGATTGGAAAATGAAAATCATTTACGTGAGCAACCAATTTGCAGCTCATATAAAGCAAATCTAGCGGCAAGCTGCATTACCCACAGAAATACGAGGTGGGCGATGGGTTTGCCCGGTTATCATGTGTGCAAATTAATGCTCCCAACGTGATGAGCATAACGAGAGATCCCAAATCGTAGATATTGCCCCGGGGCACAAAACTGGTCAAAACTGGCTGCTAAAACGAGATAAACGATTGGTATAGTGGCTTCCGAGTACTTTAATTCGATAAAGAGGTATCCTAGCTTAATGGAATAGGAAAATATATAAAAATACAATTTTATAGTGTGACACCTTTATATAGGTAGCATGTTTATAGTTAATTTGTTAAAAAAGCATTACAAATGTAGGAGATTTTATTTGCGCCACCGATTATTTTCTCATTTTCTGTTTGATTCAATTTTAATGACAATGCTTTCACGTAGGTGATAGCGTTACTAACGTTTAACGGTATCAATTTAACTGGAATGATTACAATTTTAATTTAGAGGTTAAAGTTTCACATTTTTTTTCTATTAATTTAAGCGAATGTCACCCATAATATGTTTATGTGAAAAACAACATCAAATGAACCACAAAATACTATTTAATCTTTTTTTAATTGTGCTTTATTTAGTTTTTGGGTAAACTGAAACATTAATATGCATACAAATTTTAGTATTCGTTAAATAATTTTAGTTTCAAGATGTTCTTGAAGTCAACTTCGCTTATTTTTGTTGTTCTATTAATGAAATTAGCTCTACAGGTATCATTTATATTTTTAGTTTATACTTACAAACTTTGTCTGCAAATCTTTTGATCAGAAATTTGGTGAGTTCGAATACTGTTACTTAAAGTCAGTAAACCGAAGCTACAAATATATTTCCGGAAAATTTAAGCCTCTTCAACTTCCAATATCCAAACTAAGGGTATGTAAATATATACAAAGTTGTAGGCCAAAACGATTACAAAATGTTTTTATTTGCAAAAGGTAAATGTAGCACTGTGGAAACGATATAACGGATATCAGCCTTTTATGTACAACATAACTTTTGATGTCTGTAAATTTCTGAACAATCATAAATCAAACCCCGTAATAAAATTTATTCACGACTCACACTCGAACTACTCAAATATAAACCACTCTTGTCCACTCAATGTAAGTATATGTGCTTGTTAGTTTTAATAAATAATTAATTGGACTAACTATTTTAAGCACGATGTTATTCTGGAGAAGCTTCCAATTGATCTTGTAAATTACCGATTTACTAAAGTTCTTCCTTTTCCGGAAGGCGATTACCTTCTCAAAATATACTGGCTGGTTGAAAAACATCGTGTTGCATTGGCCGAGATTTATGGAACTCTTACATAAACCTAAAAAAAATCCAAAGAAACGATATCTTTTAAATTTATAAATTATAATAGGCGATTTTGTAATAAAAATGTTAAATCGTTTTCTCTATTATCTGTTACAATTAAATGAAAACGTTGAATTTACACAGCATTTACTAATAATTATTTTTCAATTTGTTTATTTTTTCTTGTTTAAGATTAATTCACCTTTCAGACTACATTTTATTACTAATTACTATTTAATCTACTTTTAAGTGGTCAGTATTTATTAATTGTAAATGCTTTGTTTTGCTCTTTTTATACTCTTGCAGAGGGTATTATAATTATAAATAATCAATTTTTTGACCCATTTTCATGTTCGTTATTTCCAAATTTCCGATATCTTGTAAAATTAATGACTCAAAATTGGAATTTTAAAGTTCATAACTTTTCTAATCTTGAGCGGATTTGAAAGTGACATATCTCTAAAGACTTGTTGTTTAATTCTCTAAAAATCTTTATTAAAAATTCATTAATTCATTTTAACGTTGATCAAATTTTTGACCCATTTTCATGTTAGTTATTTTTATACGACACCCACATGATGTTTACAAAATGTAAGTTAATATAAAATTTGAAAAACTTAAAATTTATAAATTTATTAAACATTTAAAATTTTCAATGTTGTGTTTACTTACCCAAAAAATTTAGCTTGTCATTTTCCCTGTCATTCCAATACAGTCGGTATTTATAACTTTAGAAAACAAAGCTTATCACTTTTTTCTCTCTCTTAGTTTATTGGCAATCCAACTACTCACATTTTCATTTTAAAAACAACCTCAAATTAACCACAAAATACCATTTAATCTTTTTTTAATTGTGCTTTATTTAGTTTTTGTGGTAAACTGGAACATAATTATTCATAACAATTTTAGTATTCGTCAAAAATTTGGAGTTTCAAGATGTTTATTAAATCAACTTCTATTGTTTTTGTGGTTCTGTTGATGAATTTATCGCTACAGGTATCACTTATATTTTTAGCTTTCAAAATAATTTTTTTTACACTTCTTTTTTACATAAACTAATCTAGATTGAATCTCGATTCGAGTTTACGAACTTTGTCTGCACATCGATTGACAAAAAATTTGGTGATTTCGAGTACTGTTTCTTAAAGTCAGTAAATCGAAGCTATAAATATATTTCCGGAAAATTTAAGCCTCTTCAACTTCCAATAACCAAAATGAGGGTATGTAAACATATCAAAATCATAAATGTTTTAGACCAAAAAGAATTCAAAATGTTTTTATTCACAAAAGGGTAATGTAGCACTGTGGAAACGATATAACGGATATAAGCCTTTTATGTACAACATAACATTTGATGTCTGTGCATTTATAAACAATCAAAAATCAAACCCCGTGATAAAATTTATCTATGACTCATTCTCGAACTACTCAAGTATAAACCATTCTTGTCCTTTCAATGTAAGTATATGTATTTGTTAGTTTTAATAAATAATTTGTTGGACTTACTATTTTAAGCACGATTTTATTGTGGAGAAGCTTCCAATTGATCTGGTAAATTACCGATTTACTAAAGTTCTTCCTTTTCCGGAAGGCGATTACCTTCTCAAAATGTACTGGCTGGTTGAAAAACATCGTGTTGCATTGGCCGAGGTTTATGGATCTCTTACATAAACCTAAAAAAAAAAATAAAACCATATATTTTAAATTTATAAATCATAATGGGCTATTTCGTAATAAAATTTGAAAATCGTTTTCCCTATTATATGTTAAATGAAAATGTTGAATTTACGCAAGATTTACTAATAATTGTTTTTCAATTAACAATATGGGCTACATTTTATTACTAATTACTATTTAAGCTACTTTTAAGTGGTCAGTACTTATCAATTTTAAATGCTTTGCTTTTACTCTTTTTATACCCTAGCCGAGAGTATTATAATTTTAGTCAAAAGTCGATCTAGCAATTCCGTTTCTACGCAAACTATTTACTCAATTTAGAGCTATTTAAATTATACTTTGCAAATTTTATCTGTTGTAAATCAATCCATTACTTTAAAAAGTATACCAAAGTGACACACCTGAAGACTTGTGGTTGGATTCTCCAAATATCTGCATTAAAATTTTTCATTTTAACTTTATTTAAAAGCCATCTGCAAAAGAATATTTGTTTGATAACAAAAACACCACATAACGAGGTGAAAAGTTCGCACTTTCAACAGACAAAACTTCTGAATTTTGTGACGAAAACTTAATTTTAATTCTTTATTGTTGGTATTATTTTTGATTTAATAAACCCTTTCAATGTTATTAAGATCAAATCTGTTTTGCAAATTAATTATCCCAATTAAATAAACATAACATTAATTTGTTAAAATCGAAAATTAAAATTTTTGCGTCGTTAAGATAATTAAATGTGCATTCTATTCAAATAAAAAAGTATTATAAATAATTCATTTTTCTATAAAAGAAATTTAGTATTACTTTGTTTTTTGGTATTTTAAGATGTGTGTTTTTACAAAGTATACGCTTTTTATCTGTACAATAATTTTTTTTACTTTTGAGGTAACTTGAATATTTTAATTAGGAAATACAAGTTTAAACCATTTTTTATTTCAACTCAAGGGCGACTCAAAGTTTGAGTTCACAAACGTAAATTGCACTTCTAACCGAAAGGAAATTGCCGATTTTGAATACTGCTATCTAAAGTCGATAAATCGCAGCTATAAATATATTTCCGGAAAAATTAATATCTATGAAATTCCACTCTATAAGGTTACGGTATGAGATATAATAGCATAATCTTTAAATATTATGTGACTGGTCTGAATATGTTTTAAACAGATTAATTTAATAATGTGGAAAAGATTGAATGGATACAAGCCCTTTCTGTACAACATTACAGTGGATTTCTGCAAATTTCTTGACAAACCAAAATCAAGTCCAGTTGGAAAATTTGTATATGATTCGTACATGAACTATTCAAACGTAAATCATTCCTGCCCTTATAGTGTAAGTTAAAATAAAAACCTTAGTTACTTACATTAAAATAATAATTTAATTGTTCCTAGCACGATGTAATTTTGGAAAAGCTGCCTATTTCGTTTTTGAATCACCGAATGACACAAATTCTTCCTTTTCCCGAAGGCGATTATCTTTTTGAATTTCGGTGGCTTCGTGGGAAATCAATTGTGGGCTGGGCTAAAGTTTTTTTTACTATTTCATAACTACGAAAATATTTAAATATAAATGTTATATTGGTATGTATTTTATAAAATAATGCCTTTGGTATTTACCACTTCAAATTATAATATGTTTTAATTGTTTTTGGTATAATAAAAAATACTTATTATTTTAATAGTAGCTTACCCGCATTTTAAGACAAATCAGTATATACTAATTAAAAGTGAAATAAACATATAAGATAGCTTATATTCATTTAATGATATTATTTCAATAAAGTAATAACCCAACGCAAACAAATCCCAGTAGACTTTCAATTGGTAACTTTCAATTTCAATTATCAACTTTTTTATGGACCTGCACTAACCCCCTATTAAGTTAAACACAAAATTGGCCCCAACAAAGAGGCTAAAATCGAAGCTGGGTAAAATTGTATAAATGAAAACTAAATATTTACTTTGAGCCCTTGTTATTGCTGGCAGCTGACAGCAAGAAAACAAAGAAAATTGAGAAAAAGGTTTTCCCGGCAACAACAAACCAACGCTTATCTATGAGCGTTGAGCGCCCAAATAAGTAAGTCAATAAATCAATTCAATAAAAATTTGTGCTGCCTTTTTATATTTGAAGTTTTGTCTCTGGTTTTTTTTTTTGTCTTTTGGGCGCTTCTGTTTTTGGCAAATCCCAAGCAAACAAATGTGAGCAGAAAAAACTTTTGGCTTGGCAAATGTTTGGCAGCCAGCAGAGAAAACAATGATGAAGGGTAAAAGGGCTAAGATGAGCGTCAAAAGGTTAAGAGGGAATGAAGGCTTGGGCCGGAAAGATACATAAACAATGATAACTGCAAAGTTTATCAATTTGTAAAATGGCAGCCGCAGACATGAAGAGTTTTCCTCGGGAAAAGTGTAGGGGAACACAAACATTTTTGCTGAGCTGTGCACTTTAAAAAGCTCTTATTTTGGTGCCTGAATTTGCTGAGCTTTTCGCGGGGCACCGGTTTTCTCTTTATTTGCCCAAACGGTAATTGAAATAATTAATTTAAATTAAGTTATGCCCAAAAGGAAGTGACTGCTTAAATATTTCTTTTTACTGGCCACTGAATAACCCACAAATCGACCATCATTCACACATAACCCCATGCCTGTGGTCACATAATTCAAATGAATTGTTTATACAGCACCGAAAACTAAACAACAACAAATGGGATTGGCGAGGAAAAAAGTTCAAACAATGAATGAAATGTTTGCGTTACGTGTCAATATTATCTTTTTATTTCAGTGGCGTTTTGTTTATGTGCACAGAGAGGAAGCGAGCAATTGGGCTTGCGTGCGAGCATAAAAAACATTGTTTTAAAAATACTTGGCCAGTGTGCGGGCTATTTTGGCACTTAGCTATTTCTAAAAAAGAAAAATGTATATCAGCCCAAAGACATTGTGACATGCCGACATGACGAAACGGGTGTTCAAAGTGTCAGGCGCTGAAATGCGAACAACTTGACTCAACTTGACTGGCAAATTATTCAGCAAATCTCTTAGCATATGCCACACACAGAATCCAATTGCTCTGGTTTAGCCGTGACGATATGCTAGTCTTCAATTTAGAGGTGAATCAATTGCGAGTGTCGTCCACTTAATCTCGGCCAGATGACCGCAAATCCCTCGCTGCTCATTCTTGGACGCCTCTTAATTGCGCTTAAAATATGCTGCCAGCGATATTTCGGTCTTTTAAAATAGCCACATATCGGAATATATGTAAACAAGAAAGTATGACAAATTATATGAATACGGATCACCGGGTAAACAAATTATATTTAATTATCATTTCATTTTATTTGTATACTTAAATTAACAAAATCAAATAATTAAATATTAATTTCACTGAATTAAATTTATATTAAATACAAATTATTTAGTATTTGTTATGCACTTCTGGGTTCAAAAAACATCTCGATAATAGAAATAAATAGTCCCTAATGTAAACAATTTTAAATATATTTTAGAAAAATAATTCTTATAAAATTCATATAATCAATAATTCATACTTAATTTATAAAATTTAGTTATCTTGTCCAAGTACCTAGTTAACATTATAAATAATAAAAAAATAAAATCGGCGATTTACAAATAAAATATAAAATAATGTAAATAAAAATGTATGTGAAAATAAACCATTCTCATAGATATTCCAAAAATGTCACAAATCACATTAAAATAGCATTGCCAATAAAACATTATTTAAATTTTTCATGTATTTCTTTCTGGATTTAAATTATAAACAAATTTGTTTTTTATCATATCAATGGTGAATTACAAATACATTACTACATTTGTTTTCAGTAAGAAATTGTTTCGTAAATATTAAAGACTTTTTAGTCAGGATTTGTCGGTATTTAAAGAATCTATACCTCGGAAAGTTTAATAAACCTTCTAGCTGTGCCTAGTATAACCATTGGATACCCCAAGAAGGACAAGGGGCTGGACTGGGTTGAGCTGTCAGCGCATTTGCCAAAATTTCGCGACGAGAATGCAATGCTCTCATCGCTCTAGCCTTCCCCACCCCGCACCATCCACAGCCCCCCTCCCAACCACTTACAGCCCCCTTAAGACCCCCTAATCATCCAAATTCCCACCCACTGGTTAGCACCGGAAAGTATTTCTTTCTAGTCTGCGGCGGTCGTGTGACTCGCTTTTGTCTCTCTGCCGTTTGCCGATTTGCGGGGGCGTCAAAGTAAAATCGTCTCTGCTCTTTGCCAAATCGAAAATCCAAGTGCCACCAGCAATCGATGCGCATTTCGCCAGTTGCGAGTGCATTGGCATTGCAATGGATTCCGAGTGCTCACAACATCCTTCCCAGCGTATATATTGTGGAACTATCGAGCGATATAGCGTTTCACCAGCCATACATATCAATTGACCATCGCGACAAACAACATTGAGCAGACAAACACACTCGATGATATTGTTTGTGCGGGTGTATTTTTTTATGTGGCCATCCACACAGATTGTTGTTAAAATATTGCCACGCTTCGCATAAAAGTTGCATGAAATTGGTTCCACCAGCCAAAAGCTTTGAATAGCATAAAGAAGTTCGGGTACCCTTTTAAAAATAGTTTTTAAAATTAAGTTTAAATGCTAATCCGAAACTAAAATATTTATTATAAATAATATTGAAAATGGTTCATATGGATTAAAGTAACCATACTTGTTTGCTTGTAACTTGTTAATATATAAAAAAGAATTTATTTATTTATATGTTTATGGTTAAATACATAGAAATAGTTAACCAAGATTTATATTGTAGTTTATCCAAAAATTATTTTATTGATTTATTTTTACTGATTTCAAATTTGGGCCCGTCAGTTAATTTCAATTTAACCAAAACCTGAATATACCCGATTGGTGGCAGAACGCATATATTTTTGCACGAGGCGCGCACAAAGTCAAGACTATAATTATAGCGACACCCACCTATTGGCGCCCAATTCTGGCAGGCACACACACAGACGCACAGCGCACGCACACACAATCAATATCACGGTCAAGTTGAAAATCATTGAGAGCGGATGTGGATGTGGAATGAGATATAGAACGGGGAATCGGGGGAGACATATCACAGATGTGTAAATGTCTATGAAGGTCGTCGAATCGACGATCGCAGAAGGGCAGCAGCGCTACGAAAAAGAGAACTGCGAAGATCCGAACCCGAAGTGCGTGTGTCACATTAACCCAATAAAAAGAAATAGATAGATAGATAGATAGATAGATAGAACCCTACGCGAGAGGGGTTTATTTTTATTTATTATTTTCATTTCATCGGAGAGTGGGAGTCAAGGGCGAGAGATCTGCCGATCGCCGCCGATCTTCTTCGGGCTTTCAAATTGGGTCTTTGGATGCCAAACGATGCCAACGAATTTCGCTCAGTTTCGAGGAAATTCGCGTCGCGCCAACTTGGGAAATGCGTTGCGTCGTGTCCCGTTCAAATCATCGAGTCTAAGGCCCCAAAAGTCCGCAAGGATTAGCCAGAAAATAATAATAAATATAATAGCGGCAAACAAAGTGTGACCAAAGTGATATATGTGTGCCTGTCTGCCCGTCTATTTGTAAATCCACATCTATTTCGGGGCACGTTCGCTTTGTGGGTAATTAGCACAAAGTGTCGAGCAATTTTCCGTCTCAATTGAAGTGCGGCTGCCCTTTGCCAAAAGCATCCGCTAAACAATGTGATGACTTAATGAAAAGTTAATAAGTCTTTGAATAATTGCAGCAAATTGAAATATTAATTGTTCAACATTTATTTCGTGTGCGCCGAGCACTGCGAACAAAATAATAAATAAAAGTTGTCTCTAGCTCGCTATTGGCATTGCCTAGCTAAAAATACAAGAAAGTCCACAGCTATACAATATAACAACAAGTTTTATTTATTGCCTAAATATATTTGTGAGTTGTGTGTTTGTGTCCCGTCCATAAAGACGCTAGGCAAAGGGGTATAATTTTCTAAATTCTTGTGCTAGTAACACTTTCAGCACCAGCAAAAATCAAGCCATTAAAATATATATATCAGGCAAAGGAATCGCAACAAAATCAACACCAGCAGCACATAAAAAATTAATAAAAACAAAAAACAAAGGCCGAATAAATAATCCAACAATATGTCGGCCTCTACGCGAAGTTCGGTGACGAGAAAATCGTCGCTATCCAAAAGTGCCAGCACAGAAAAATCCACAAAGTCCTCGTCGAGTTCCTCGAAATCCCCGCCAGCCGCCAGTGGAAACAAACAGAAGATGCAGTACACAAAAACCAGGGAGCGCATGGTCGATGGTAAAGATATCCACACATTAGTACACAATCCGATCATGCATTAACCCAAACACGAGTCCCTCCTGGGATTGTATCTTTAATGACATGCGATCATGCTTCAATGGCATTCTGATGTTCTGACCGTCGACATTAATGTCAAAATTGAGGGCCTCTCAATTTGTTTTCTTTGAACTTTTTTTTAAATTTTAGTGAGCATAGAAAAGTATTTCGAAAAAGCGTGTATTTCAAAT